TAATATACAACACAATCGGATTTAGATGTTTTAGATTATTTAGATTAATTTAAATAAAATTTTCGTATATTTAAGATCTTTATATTTGTCCCATTTGATAGAATTATTTATATTTCATCATAATTATACTACAAGAACAAATTATTTTTGTTATCATTTCCGATCTATCTATTGGCTGTATCCTTCAAATATAAGTGTAGTAAGAACAAATGTGTAAGTTTTACAAATTTTATTTCATAAATTAGATTATTAAGTCCTATTTATTTCTAATTTTATTGGTCAATGTAAAAATATGTTAGATAAGTTAAAGCAATTAAAATAAAAAAAAGTCTACCTAGCGACTAATATTACTTAATTCTTAATACGACAGTCTGATATCTTTTTCGTCGCTTTCACAGCTTACTTTTGCGTATACAAATATCATTCTTGACACGTATGATGCAAATTTAAATTGTCAGTAACGTAAATTCGTAATAATAAATATATGAGACTTGATTGTGTGGCCAGTGGGCGATTAGTGAAGTGAAAGCATTTGCAGCGCTAGCCTACTTCGCAGTTCGCTATTGCAGTTCGCGCGACTAGCGACAGTAGCGACTAGTCGGCAGTGACCAGCAGTGACGGTAGTGTCGGCACTCGGCACCATCGACAGAGTCGACAGTGGCATCATGGCGATCGGCTAGGGGAGTCAGCAGTCAGCACGCATCGCTCAGAAAATTTACCGTGAACCCGTACACGATCACAGTATTCGTGATTATCGTGAATTACGCGCATCGAATTTCCCGTCAGATGACCGCATATCGATCTTTCCGTGCGTAGTAACGTCGAAACGCGAATGACACAATGGTGAAGTTGACGGAAGAGATGGTCGTGGCTCGCACGCGAGTGTCTGACTTTTCTGCCGTAAAGAAACTCAATTGCTGGTGAGTATTTATATCGACGATAGGTCTCTTTAACGGTATAACGTCCCGAACGTCCGTCACGAATTAATTCACGGCGACTCGACTGTCTCGGAGCTCGGAGCGCGTAAACGCGAAACGCGACTAGACTCGACTTTGCCTTTGCCACGCGAACATCGCGAACAAAATCGCGCGACAAGGTTATCAATGTTTTCTACGCCGCCCCATGCCATGGGAAAAAAAGGGACGTGTCATCACCCGAGCGTAACCAACTGCTACTTGCGAGACCCTGGCACGCTGGCATGCGAAAGGATACGTGGAAAAAAAGTACTTGACGACGTCTGCGTCTAGTACACGTTTCTTCGTGCAAATGTATGCTGAGGCTGAGAGTAATGTCAAGTATACAGCTAACGTTTACACGTTATTTTTATTTCTATATTCCTCGTTATATTTACATTTATATGTACCTGTATATTTATTTTATAAACGTTCGTGCAACGAAAAGCATTTATACGTGAAAGGACGGTTTATTCTCTTGTTAAGTTTGCCATCTCGTTTGAAATGCGTTTGTGTAATAAGTAACGTATAACAATATTTTTCTCTTTCTATTGACGTTACGTAATATATTTTTTACACAGGGGAACAGATATAACAGACGTCAGCATCTTAAGAAAAATGAAGAATGTGGAGGTGTTGTCACTGAGGTAAGACTTATATTGTAAGGTTGAAACTTGTTAAAATAGTTGAACGCGTATCGAAATAAGAAAACGAAACGTTTATCATCTATAACATTTTATTTGTTATATGATATATATTACGTTTACGCGAGCGTTACTTCTGTACAGTAACGCTCGCGTAAACGTAGTCGTTGACTCAATATAGTTGTAAACATTTTAGCTATTTGGTTGGTTAACATATCTACATTAAAGGTTTTGCCATAAGTTTTTTTAAACAAACCTGTGTTGCCGTGTTTTGTCATTTCGTTTGCTTTTATACGATTTTACGTATTGGAGTACCGTATAATGTTTAACGTACACGGTCTATCGTCGTTTTATAAATAACGTCCATTTTATTTTAAACTAACACCTTATTTTGCTTGTACGCTTTAGCCTTTAAATCTCTCGCTTAGCTTATACACATTTGAATAAAGCCAAAAAATTAATAGTTACAGTGCTTGTTAGCGAATACTTTATTACGCAAAAATGTAAATCGTTCTATTGATGATCATGATCTAAGATATTTTTCGTCTTACGAAAACATAGAAGCTGCAACGTATTCCTACTTTGGATATGATTCTATTAAACTCATGGTCACAACCCACAACTTCAGAAGTTGTTCTGCCCACACATGCTTTGAATTCATTGTGCGTCGTCTGAGTAATATTGAAAAGTGTATAACGCAAATATGAGAAGAGACTTTAAAAAGAATCTCTTTTACTTATATTTACTTTATTTTGCTATTTTAAACAAACACGCATACGTACAATAAGGCATATACGTTTTATACAAAGATTAATAATTTTTTCCATATAATATTAACAAAGACAAAAGTATGTAATACAATAATATAGATTTTTTTTTACATTAGCCCAACTTGATTAATATTACTCGTTTTATATTATGTATACGTGTGCGAAATAAAAATAATGGGTTACCAAAGAGTTTTCTGTATCATATCATATATAACGTATTGTATGTAACGTGTTATTGAATATTAGTAATGTTATTTGTTGTTGTTTAAAATAGAGCATGTTGATTTGAACGTGCTTAAGGAATATAAATCTTTTTCTTTCTTTATCTGATATAAAAATAATACGAGCATTCATATTTATTTCTAGCATAAATAACATTAATACACTTGCCGATTTTCAATACTGCCACAAGCTTCAGGATTTATTTATAAGACGAAATAATATTAAAGATTTAAATGAAGTTTGCTATCTCCAAGGATTACCTAATTTACGAAATTTGTGGCTCGGTGAAAATCCATGTGCAGAAAAGGATGGGTAAATATTTAAAAGTAGATATTGTTAAAATGAGAAATTATGGAAATTTTATAATTCACTATTTTGATAGATATCGATTAGCTGTACTTCGAGCTTTGCCAAATCTTGAGAAATTAGATGACAAGGTAGTGTCACCCGAAGAAGTGCAAACTGCAATGACAATAGGTCGATCTTTAATACATCCTCTTGAAATAGATGCTTCTCCACAATCGGATGTAGTAAGCCCAGAGGTGAGAACATGTTTTAAATAATGTATAATAATAGGAAAAAGATTAATGCAATACTAAAATACTTTTCATATGCACGTAATATTCACATTATTTCATCAATACGTTTCTATACTTTTTTGTATGCTTTACAACTTAAGATTAATAGCTCTTTATTTACGTGTTATTAAAACTTATTGATAGCAGATTATGTATTAATTAAAAATATATATAGATATATATATATATATATAAAATTTTTTTAATGCACTTTTAATCATTGAAATGCTAAATCATTCAAGTGCTAAATGACATTTATACTAAATTAGGATATCGCGATTGAATATATTGAAGAAACTGAATTGGGACGATCTAGGAGGTACAGTTCTTCTAGTGATCAGGTAATAAAGTAATAACATAAATTAACATATTCTTTAATTTGCTCTCGATCACTAAAATCGATCATTTGGCAACTCACAAGATATAATGAAATTATTAAAATGCGGCAATATGTATACTTGTAAAACTTTTTTCAGAGAAGCTTTGATGAAATCCAACATACTCATGAAGAATATGACCCTGACAGAAGAAACGCAAATTATAATGCGTCATCGTCACATCATTACTCACAAAATAATCAATATGCATATGAGGTCAGTCATGCATATCATCATTTGCATCATATATAGGAGTAAAAATGTCCTTTAATACGTATTTCTAAAAGTAAATAACTTTTATTTATTAACAACGTGTAACTATTGTGCTGGGAAATTTTCTTAACATGTATAATACAATTTTTAATGCAATATTTTCATATTAAAGTAAAAATATGTACGTAATCCATTAATTTGATGGTACTAATCATATTAACTAATTAAATTAAAAGAGTTAGATTTCAAGTATGACTATAACTTAAAGTCTGTTTTATCGCCTGATTATACTAACAGCTACAAAATGGACAATCAAAGAATCAGAGCAAAGATGACACTGTGTGTACAGAGTCACGCAGCAACAATGAGACTGTGGCCACTAACACTCTTGAAATATCCAAGGTACATTTAAGTACAGCGCATTTTTAAACATATTTGCGATTCTGCGGTCATTCATATTATCCATAATATAAACGATTAAATACGTTTCATAATCATATCTCAGTAATACTGTCATTGTGTATATTACTGTTTATTAGCAAGTATGATTAGATCACTCGAATTTGACATGTTTTCTGGCTACATATCACTTTGTATAACTCAGCTTAGGACATTTAATAATGAGGAACTTTTTTTTATTTTAATCGCTTTAACTTATCTAACATATTTTTACATTGACCAATAAAATTAGAAATAAATAGGACTTAATAATCTAATTTATGAAATAAAATTTGTAAAACTTACACATTTGTTCTTACTACACTTATATTTGAAGGATACAGCCAATATAGATAGATCGGAAATGATAACAAAAATAATTTGTTCTTGTAGTATAATTATGATGAAATATAAATAATTCTATCAAATGGGACAAATATAAAGATCTTAAATATACGAAAATTTTATTTAAACTAATCTAAATAATCTAAAACATCTAAATCCGATTGTGTTGTATATTA